GGGGGGATAGTAGAGGATAGGAAAGACAGCAGAATACAACAGACACTAGTATGGCAATATGTAAATCAATGGATGTGTAACTGATGTGATTCTGCAATCTGTATATGGGGTAAAAATGGGAGCTCATAACCCACTTGAATCAAATTGTGAAATATGATATATCAAGAACTATGTAATGTTTTGAACAGCCAACAATAAAAAAAAAAAAAAAAAAAAGAAACCTCCCTCTAGGGTGCTCTCCCCTAAAATTTATATACCGGAAACAGAATCCCCAAATCTGCATGTTAATGCTATTTGAAGGTGGGACCTTAAGGAGTAATTAGGATTAGAGGAAGTCATGAGGGTGGGTCCCCCACGACGGCCCTGGTGACCTTAGGAGATGAAGAAGTGGGACCCCATCTGGCACGCTTGCTTTATCTCAGCATGTGATAGTCTCCTCCATGTCATGCAGACAGGAGGCCCTCACCCGAGGCTGAGCAGAACTGTGAGCCAAATAAACCTTTATTCTTTATAGATTACCTAGCCTCAGGCATTTTGTTATACCAGTGTAGAGCAGACTGAGACATACGGGTTTAAGCTGCAGCCTAGCCCAAAGGGCACATAAAAAAGGGAATAGAACAAAAACATCATGTGCAGAGGTCCGATCCCATCAGGACTGTGGGTCCCAACAGAATTAGCAGCCTATACTCTTGGATGGGCAAGGAGATCCCTGCAGGAACAAGACTCTGGCCTTCCGTGGCTGAGTCGGGGATTCCAATATTCCTGACCTGTGGGCTCTTTTAAGGGTCCTCCTTCAACTTAGCCAGATGGTGTGGAGATTGGTGAAGCTTACGTGAACCGTGAGGTAGGCTGAGGGGAGATAAAGGAACAGAGGACTCTACCTTCCCAGAAGGGAGAAAAGCATTTTGATGGAAAAGTAATTGACCTCTCCAAAGAACTTAAAAATCAATTTTCCGAGTTGTGCAATAGCAGTCACGGTTCTGTTGAGCCTCCAACAGAGCAAACATCAAAATGTTTCGTCCAAGTAGGAAAGAAAAACAAGGATCAGCTGTGGGCGCGCTGGTGAAATCCCACTGGTCATGATGTCCAAGCTATTCTCTTTTGAGGAGGTCCAAGTTCTACCCTCTGGAGATTTTTTGAAAGCATGTATTTGAGTTGAAGAAAATGCCTGAGATTTTTCTCCTTAGTGTCATACCCTAAGCTTTGGATAAGCTTGCAGCTCCAAATGTGGTTTTGACTTTGCACACCAAATCTCTTTGAGCTGCTGATATAAGGGGTTTGAAGAAAGATGAACAGTGTGTTCCGTGTGCAAAGTGGGCCTAGGCACGACGATTCTTTTCACATTAGCTCTTCCACAATAACTTTTTCCTGTTACGTTATTAAAGGTTCATACGTAGACTCACGGCCATATGCATCTAGAATCACGTCATGACTAAAGATGAAAATGATTTTAATTTAAAAATTCTCCTTCCTTCCTTGCTCTCTGGTGCCGGGGCTAGAACCCTGGGCCTCCTGCCTGCTAAGTGCGTGCTCCACTTCTGGGCTACATCTCCAGCCCCCAAACACTTGAGGTAGGAGCTAACACACAGAAGCTGAATAGGAAAATTTCTTGGAGTTTTAATTTATAATCACCGTTTTTAAAAAAAATCACCCGAAGTCTAACACTTCTGAAGAGCAAATTAGTCAACGCCGGTGAAATTTTCCTTTTGAGTGATCTGAAAACAGGTTCTTGAAGAAATGACATGTAAACCCCAAACCAAGTTCCCTCTGGGCCGGAACCAGTTTGACTTCTATTCTTCTCTTGAGCATAAACTTGACTAAACTCATTGTGTGTGTTTGATGATCATTGTGGGTGTTTGTTAACTATCCAATTAACCAATCTCTAGGGCAGTTAATGGCTCTGTCAATTCTTATAAATGACAAGCCATACCTCGGTTCTGCGGCTGAACTGTGCCAATATAATCCCCTGCAACAAACCAGAGCTCACACACACACACACACACACACACACACACACACACGGCCTCACGGTTATATGCTGGGCCCGGGGCTAAGCGTACTGTGCATTATTAGCTTAGTGAATTTTTATGACCCTGTCAGACAGAGGACATGACAATCCCCGTTTTGGAAAAGATGAAGAACGGTTAAGAGGTGAGACAACTTGCCCCAGGTTGAACCTCGCTGGGAGGGAGTCAAACCAGGGTCACAGCCCAGATCTGTCAGATTCCAGAGCCCTTGCTTGAAGTCACCACACTCCACTGGCTCCTATGTGCTTTAGTTGTGACAGTCTATATCAGATCCATGGTACTGACCTTGGAAAAATCCTATGGCGACACTGGCCCTGTCCCAGTAGGATTGAAACTGAAGGGAAGTCAAAGGAAAGTGAACTTTGGTTTGTGTTTATCCTCCTAGGACTTACCCCTGGGGACCTCGCCCATTAGCACCTCACCCATTAGCACCTCGCCCATTAGCACCTCCAATCAACCCTCTGCGGAAGGGGAAAACTTGAATTCAAGTTGAAGAAAATTTCTTAGATTTTTATCCTAAGTAGACTAAAAAGGACCTTTCCATTTTAGCCAACCCACTCTCCCACCCCTGTTTCTAGTTCATTAAAAATGAAAGAGACTTAGGTCTCAGACTTAAGAGACTCAGGTCTCAGAACCCTGTCAATAGCTCTGTCTAGTGGCGCCTGGAACTGCTCCTTTGCACATAGATGTGGACATGGAGGGACCTCAAACTCAGAAGCAGCTGGTGGACGGCAGGGGACCCTGCCATCCCACCCCCGGTTCCCCCAAGAGAAAGCCAGGAAGAGGAGAGACTTACGTAGGAGGTACTCCGCTGTATCCTGTTCGTAGTCTGCATCTTCAGGGAAGTGGTCGATTTTCTTGCACACTCCTCGGAAAGCCCCTGCGGAAACAAGCGTGGTCCTGAGAACCCAACGGGTTCAGCCTGAGTCCTTGACCTCGCGGGACCGTTCCTTCCCCTGGTTGTCGGGAAGCTGGGCCCAGGGAGGCTCAATCGCATCTTTATACAGGGCACAAAAAAGAGACGAGCTGCTCTGACTTGGATCTTGAATGTCCCCCAAAGGTCTATGGGTCCCCAGCCAGTGACATAGTGGGAGGTGGTGGAACCTTTAGGAGGTGGAGCTTGGTGGCAGGAAGTGAGGTCATTGGGAGAATGTCCTTGAAGGGATTATTGGGATCCCAGGCCTTTTCCTCTGTCTGCTCCCTGAAAACCCTGAGGTGGGCAGCTTTGGGGTATCACCTGCCCCCCCCCCCCCATGTTGTTCTGCTTTGCCACAGGCCGAAAAAAAAATGGAGCCAACCAACCAACCAATCAACCATGGACAGACACCTCTGAAACAGTGACCCCAAATAAACTCTTCCTGTTTTAAAAGGTGATTTATCTCAGGGATTTTGTCACAGTGACCTAAAGCGAGCACTCCGCTAGAGGCAAGCCATTCATTAAATAAAAAAGGAAAAGACTCAAATATTCTCTTTCTTCCTTGTTGCATGACGTTGGCATCCACCTTGGAAGAGCAAAAAGAAGTAGGAATATGAAAGCAGGTCTCAGGACACTGTCGGGTCTGACCTCTCCCACAAGTGAAAGGAAAAAGAGGTGGGGATTATGTTTAGTAATTTATCTTCCCATTTTATAGATGAGGAAATCAGGCTTGAAGAATTTTGCTTGAGGGCTGGGGTTGTGGCGTGGTGGTAGAGCGCTTGCCTACCATGCGCGAGGTGCTGGGTTCGATTCTCAGCACTGCATATAAATCAATGAATAAAATAAAGGTCCATCAACAACTAAAATTATATATATATACACACACATGACTTTAAAAAGTTAGTCCTATTATTCTTTAACAAAAAAGTAAATGAATAAAATAAAAGAATTTTGCTTGAAATCACTCAGGTAAATAAATGGTCAAGCCAGGTTCCCAATCAAGATCTGCATCCAGACATTGTGGAACATTCTACTTTCTCAGACAATGCTCCTATCAGACCACAGGACTCTCCTGTTCCCTCTCCCTGCTCTGCAGAGTCACTGCTCCCTGTCCCTTGCTGGGTGGCTCACCCCTTCAGGAACCACAGAATTGTCGAGGAAACATCTCAAAGAAACTGTCAGCCTTTGACTTCCTCTCCTTTCTTCAGCATAGATTGGACTTAACTCATTTTGTGTGTGTGTGTTTGATAATCATTGTGGGTGTTTATTAACTAGCCAATTAGCCATTCTCTGGGGCAGTTAATGGCTCTGTCAGTTCTTATAAATGACAAACAATATTCAGGATGTCTCATCTGGCCGCCACACAGCATGAAATTATGCATTCCTGTCCTCTTCCCTGTCTGCAAAGACAGTAGGGAGGTGAGAAAGAGTGTTGTTGTTGGTGGGAGAATCAGACAGAGCTGAGCTTGTGTTTCAGAGCAGTCATTGCATATTAAAAAAAAAAAAAGCCACACTCACGAACAGGAGATAATTTTTTCTGCAAAGCTGTAGGCACATCATAATAACAGCTGCCAGTTATAAAGTCCTTCCAAGGAGCCAGGCACGTTGGTGAAAACTTACAGTCCTTATCTCACTGACTCTCGCCCCCTGCACCCCAGGAGGTAAGGTCGATTAATAGTGACATTTATGACGAGGCAGGGGAGCCACAGAGGGGAATGGAGGTGTCCCAGTCAGTGAGTGGCAGAATTGGTATTCGAATCCAGGCTCCAAAGCCTGTGATTTCATCATTACTCTATGAATAACCATTACTCTCATGTCTACTATTATTATGTCTATTATTATCTTATAATGATAACAGTACTATCTATTTAACCTCTATCATAAGTAGGCTCCCCAGGGACATTTCACGATAATTGCAATGAGCTATGTAGAACATCTCTTTGATTCTGATCCCCAGCTCGCCAGGCAAAGAATAGACTTCGAACTAAGGAAAGGATTCAGGAGAGAAGTCTCCAGGAAGTTTCTCGGAAGAAAAGACAAACCTGTATCGTCTTCCCTGATATTGAAAAAAAAGGCCTTTCGTTTTTTTCTTGTTCAGATTTCAGAGTTTCCTTTATGTATTTTGCCTGGATAATAAATCCTCATAAGTAACTTATAGGTTCTCCTTTTACCATGTGCCCCAGGACCAGTCTACGCATTTGATAGGTGAGGAAACCGAGAGGCTTAACAAGGCTGTGGTTAGTAACTGCGTCACTCAAGGGCAGGTCTGGCTGACTCCAAGGTCAAGGTTCCTAAGCACTATTGTGACTTGCTCTCCCTTCAGTGGCTTTGGAGTTGCAAGCAAGTCCCCCGATAGGTGGCTTAGTGGTCATTCTGTGGTCTGTTCCCCGCTATTGATGTGGCATTGAACGGCACCAGTCATCTTCCCATCAACTTATACTTTTTCTATAATGTATTCCAGGGAACAATGGGCAGGTTAGCAGTTTCACCTGTTCCACAAAAGATTTCCTGGGGAAGAGAAGGTCCTGGCGAAAAATGGAATGTGGACCCTCCTCCAACAGCCCAGTCGGAATCGCTGTGGGAATTAGGAGCCACGCCCTTGCCTGCATCTGCTTGTGAAATGGCCTTACTCAGATGACTCCAGGTGGCTTGAAACTGGGACTCAGAACCAGTGGCTTTTGAAGTCACAGGCACCAGTGTCCTTTCCATGGTTTAAAGTGGCCTCCCACCTGTTTCTGTTCAGCCCATGAGCGAAGAATGGTGTTAGTGTACTTAGATGATTCGAAAAAAAAATCAAAAGAAGAATATTATTTCATGACACATGAAAAACGTGAAATTCAAATTCGGGTGTCGATAAATTTTATTGACACCGCTGTACCCACTTATTGACATAGTTTTGATGGTGGCTTTCATGCTCCTGTGGCGGAGTGAGGTATGGCAGAGACAGCCAAGCTGAAAATAGTTACCCTCTGGCCCTTTTGGAAACATCTTGCTGAACCCTGGTCTGATGATTTCTGTGTTGTGAAGTCACAAGTGAAAAGTGAAGAGGGGTTGGTCCCTTCCTGAGATGGAGGCAATAATTCAGCCTGGTCCCTCCAAAGCAAATAGTGGTGAGTTTTTAGAAAAATCTAGTTGCAGACTGGTTTGGTGATTTTTTTTGTTTGCTAAATAAATAGTTCTGTGCTTTTCTTACCTGCAAAATTTTATTGCATGTTTTGATGCATTTTTTCAAAAAATTACACGTGTCGATACAATTTAAAAAATTCAAGGTATCTCATTCGAAAGCCTGATTGGCAGTTTCTCTTTTAAAAAAATGAGGTGCTCCGTCCGTCCCACATTTGCATGGGACAACACCCTTTGTAACTGGACATCAGCAGCCCTCTTCAGCCTGGGCATGAACTCTCCAATTGGCCAAAGTCCCCAACTTAGGATGCTTCCCTGTCCCTGTAGATATTTCAGCTTATAACCCCAGAGTCAAAATGTGGTGAGAACCCAGTCTTCCGAGTCACCCTTTAGAGAGAATCCTGACTCAGCAGCCGCTTACTCCTTGTGGTTGCCTGCCCCAGATTACCTCTCCAAAACCTCAGCTTCATTTTCTACCAAAGGGAGATAATAATAGTCACTCCTGGGAGTTGTCACCAGAATTAATGGCGGCAGTAATAGTAGTTACGGTGGCAGTCGCTGTTCTCGGTACTTTGCACATAAATCTTTTAATCAGGCAATGATGTAAAGGACTTTTTACAGTCCCTGGCACCTAGTAAGCACTCAATAAATTACAGCTATTACTATCGCCGGTTTGGGTAGGTATTTTAGGACCAGCAGAGACACATCGGCGACATGGTGAGATTTTAGAAAGCAATATAAAAGGAAAGGGAAACAGGAATTTCCTCAAGGAAGATTCCACACTGAAAACGGAGCTGCTGGCACCCCGAGCCACACACTCATTATAAAGTGAACTTGGCCATTCCTGTGGTAGCATATTGCTAGCTCCCAGAAATAACCACTGCTTTGCATTTTTTTATATATATATATTTCCTTTCAGGCCCCCCCCCCCCCCCGTCTTTCTTGTGCTTTCACACAAAAATGACTTAACAAGATTGAGATCATGCTGTTCTTCTCACATTTTCTTAGGAGTATTTCCCCATATCAGTCAATCCAAGGAAATAGAAGGGGGCTGGATTTCCCACCAATCGCACAGAAAGAAATCAAGAGAGAGGTTGAAAACCTTTAAAAGGTAAGGAGCAAGTCAGAACACAGAGATCAACACCGCTAAGGCCCTGGGGCAGAGAGAAGCAAACCAGGAAGAGGACCAAAGGAGTGTGGTCTGGAGACAGAACTGGGGGCCACAGGGGAGAGGTGATGGAGAACCAGCCCTGGGCAGGCGTGAGAACTGGGCATGAGAACCAATGGATTGCAGGACCTTGGGAAGAGTTTGAGAATGGGAGACAGAACCGGAAGAAATTTCCTGAGCTGTTGAGGGATAATCACAGAGCCTGGATTTATGGGTCTAGAGTCTCTCTCTGCAATGAGAATGTGAGCTCTGAGGACCAGAATCTTCTGTCCTGGTCATCCGTGAATCCCTAGGACTCTGGCTTCATCCTAGATAGAAAAGACGATATCAGCAGTTCATCTCCAGCTCCCACAGTGGAAGAAAACACCCGTCACATGAATAAAGATGCACCCTTGAGCGAACACCCCTTAAAGACAAACCTTGGAGATATTATTAAAATCAAGAATTAGATAATCCACATCATCGCCTCTATTATTTACTAGATAGTCGTACAAGTTCTAGTTAGCATAAGAATTGTGTTAGAAGCAATAATTTTTAAAAAATGGAATAAGAGGACCATTTTTTTTTCCAGGTGATAAGAATTCGTCTATTTGGGAAGCTGAAAGCAATTTGGTAGGAAAAAAAAATATATCAGAATGAATGAAAAGGGCTTAGTAAAGTGATTTCTCATGGG